TGCCCCCTAGTGTTCAGGCCCTTTCCACCTTGGTCCAGGACTGCTATTTCTGTGTGCTCAGCAGCAGCGAGGAAGTGGTAAAGGGTCTCAGCACATCGAGTTCCTGCTTGCCCTGGGGTGGTGAAGTGAGCAATAGAATGAGACCCTGTGACCTGAGAGGACACCGAAGTTGCAGGGAGCAATCATCTGTGGTAACGAGGGCAGGCCCAGCTGCCAAAACCAAGCATGATACATGTCTCAGGAGATGCTGAATGGCGACCGGAGACCCAGGTACTGCTCCCGCTTCCCCCAGTCTGATACACGACACCCCATTAGTTATATTCTTCAACAAAAATACAGTCCCAGGGAAAGAGAGGAGCGCTTAGAATTGCCTGAGGTTTCAAAACGTCTAAATTTAGAACTGTATATTCTAGTTGAAATATAGGTGAGTAAAGGAAGTTACTCTCACACATGAATTTGCTTAAAACCCTCAGAATTCCCCATCATACTTAGAATAAAATCCAGAGATTGAACCAGGCTCACTAGGCCCGCCTGCTTCTCTAAACCCGTTTCCTATCTCTTCCCCGATTCCCACTCACTCGACTCTAGTACCCTATCATTTTTACTGTGTCTCAGATGTTCTCAATGCTCTTTGACCTCAGAAGTTGTTCCTCTTGCCATGAGTACTCTTCCTTCAGGTACACATATGGTTCACTCCTTCACTCATTCATGAGTCTGCTCAGAATGTCACATCTTCAGAGTGGCATACCCAGAAAACTTTATCTAAAATAGCAACCCTGTTTCTTCCACGTCACTTTTTATTACCTTATCTGCTTTATTTTTCTTCATTTCACTTACCAAAACCTGCCCTTATATATTTATTTGTTGTGGCACCCAACATATATATGGAAACTCCACAAGGGCAAGGAGTTTGTCTTGCTCATTGCTGTATGGTCAGCACCTGGAACAGTACCTGGCATAGAGGAGGCTCTCAGTAAATATTTGCTGTATGAATGAATGATCAAACCTGAGTTTGTCGACTGAAGTTCATATCCACTATACAAGTTTTAAAGTTCAACCACCTTCAGCTTTTGTTTGAAAACATTTTTTAGAAGAAAGAAGATTTTGGATTCTTTGTGTAGGAGGCAGCATGAACTCTGTTGTTAGTTAGATTTGGGTTCAAATTCTATCCTCACCACCACCTAACTGAGGACCTTTGAGTAAGCTAACATTTCACAGTCTCATTTTCTTAATTCTTCGAAATAGGAAAAATAATAACTTACCTGTTAGGGTTGAGGTTTGAGGAACAGATGAAAAAGCATTCATAAAACATCTAGCACAAGGATAATGCTCAATTTAAATTTAGCAAGTTTTGCTGAATACCTGGTCCATGCCAGGCATGTGCTCCAGGCAGTCTGGATACTAAGATGATGGACACATGGGCCCTGCTCCAGGAGCTGCTTCTCTGTAGATGCACGTTCTGTCTTCCCTGCTCTTTATCCTCCAGGCCGGTGCAACACAGTGGCCACTTATGCCAGGTATCAACAGCAGCACTTAGAATTATATCATTAGTAGATAAAATACATCCATTTATTTTTTCTTTTGTACAGGTATCTTCATTTTAAAACTCTGTTATTTTTTGTGAATTATATATATATATATATATATATTATACTATTATTTTTATATGAACCAGTCATTACAACAAAATCCTTCATTTTCTTAGAAAGAACGATGTCATATCTTTGTTCACTCAGGTATCTATTTCATTTTATGCTCTCATGAAGAAAAACCCAAATCTTATACCATGTAAGAAATAGTCAGGTTGGCGATATACTGGATTTTGTTTTCATCCTAGTATTTCTGGTTATAATTATGTGCATCATTAGTAATCTCTAGACTCCAACAGAATTGGTGGTGAAAACTAAAGTTTACTTATGCTTTTTATTACATTAAAAGCATCTTTTATTTCTAAGAGTTTCAGCCCCAGGATTGGAGAGTGATGTATGGCTAGAGTTAGGGCATCTCAACTCCAGGTCCTTTTCTGCCACTAATAAGGAGAGTGACCTTGAACATAGACTTCTTATGTTTCAATTTTCCTATCTTTAAAATTGACTTAATAGTATCAGCCCTACCTATTTTTGGATAAAAATACCAAATGAAAAGTTATTTATCAATGGTCTTTGTAAAAAATGAATTTTTCACGTATGAGGTAATGTGAATCTTCCATGAACTTTTTCACATACCCTCGTATATGGCAAATAATTCTCTTCCTATTTGTGCCTTCTAGTATGACGCTTGTGCACTCATAGCAATGTTATATTGCTAATGTATAGTCAGTTTGTCATTGTGTTTATTTTATTTTCTAATTTTTTAATTCGATTGAAGATATGCTTATTGTAACAGTTCAAGCACTATATGGATGTATAAAGAAAAAATTACTAGTCTTCCAGGCCTTTATTCAATCTCAACTCTCATCCCAAGGTATTCTATACTATTTTCTATGCTAGTAAAAGCGTAAATATAAAGAACTGATTTTCTTTCTCTCTCTTTCAAAATATTCTTTGGAATCATGTTGTAGATATAGTAACCATGCAATTTGGCCTTTTTTTTGCTTAACAGATCATGGATATCTTTTCAGGTCTATATATGTAGCTGTAATTAATTCGTTTTATTAGCTGCATAGTAGTCCTTAGTATGGCCATATGGTAATTTATTAACCATTTCTTTTATTGATGAAGGTTATTGCCAGTTTGTGCTAATTCAGACAGTCCTTTTTTTTTTTTTTTCCTTTTTGTCTTTTTTCGTGACCGGCAACAGATCGCAACCCTCAGTGTCGCGCCCATACCGGACCGGGACTGGCAACGGGATCGCAACCCTCGGTGTTGCACCCGCACCTCGCTCAGCCAGTGAGCGGCCGGTCTGTATGTGGGATCCGAACCCTCGGCGGGAGCGCCGCCACGCTTCCAAGTGGCGCACTGTAGCAGTGCGCCACCGGGCCGGCCCCAGACAATCCTTTAATAAATATCTTCTACATAGAATTTTACGTATTGGTACTTTTATTTCTTTATATTTTCTTAGAATTGGAATTGCTGGTTCAAAATGCTTGTGTAATTTAAAACTTAATAGTAACTGCCCAGATTACTTTCTATTGTGGTTATAGCAGCTCTCACTCCCCGAAAGCCATTTCTTTTAATATTTTCTCTAATTCTTCTCTCTTACCCCCTTTTCAGGGACTCCAGTTACACATATATTAAGCAACTTGAGGTTTCCCCATAGTTCACTGATGTTCTTTTATTTTTTCTTTCTTATTTCCTTTTTCTCTCTGTATCTTATTTTGGGCAGTTTCTATTCTTATGTCCTCAAGTCTACTAATTTTTTGTTCTGCAGTGTCTAATCTGTTTTTATTTCTACCCAGTTTATTTTTCTTAGGCATTGCAGTTTTCATCTATGTAAGTTTTATTTGAGTCTTTCTTATAGTTTGCATGTCTCTACTTGACTTTTTGAACATAGGGAATATAGTTATAACCATTTTGATGCCCTTTCTGTCAGTTCTGACACCTGTGTCAGCTCTGGGTCACTTTTGATTAATTGATTTATCTCCTCATGAAGGTTCATATTGTTCTATTTGTTTGCATGTGTGGTAATTTTTGATTAGATGCCAGGCATTGTGAAGTTTATCTTGGGTGCTGCATTGTTTGGTCTTTCTGTAAATAGCCTTGGGCTTTGTTCTGGGACATAATTAAGCAACTTGGAAAAAGTTTTTTTCCTTTTGGATTTTGCTTCTAGGATACTAGAGCAGTACCAGTCCAGAGCTAATTATTCCCCACTACTGAGGCAAGAGCCTTCTGTTTATGCAATCCGTGAATCTTGAGGTTTTTCCAGTCTGGCTTATGAAACAGATGGTATTCCTGACCCTGTGTGAGTGTTGGGCACTGTTACCTCTAATCCTTCTGAATGTGCTTTTCCCCAGCCTGAGACAGTTTCCTTGCACATATGTACTGATCAATACTCAGCTGAGTATTCTAGGGGGACCGTTTGCAGACCTCTGGAGTGTTCTCTCAATGTAGGCCTCACTTCTCAAGTACTCTGTGCTACAACCTTTAGCTGTGTTCGTCTCTCCTCTCAGCTCTCTTTCCTCAACCCAGGGAGATGGCCGGGCTCCATCTGGGTTTCTCCTCCTTGCACAAGGGCTAGGACAGTCAAGGATGTAAGCTGGGTCAATCAAAGGGCTCATCTTGTTTGTCTCTCATTTCTCAGGGAGGGTTCCTGTTACTTCATCTTGATCAGAAGCAGAAATTTTATTTTATTTTTTAAATTTTTTAATTGGTTATGAATATTCATGAGATACAAAGCTGATTGTCACCCCTCGTGCTCAAGATGTGAAGGCCAGATTCATACTGGCAGCATGTCCATTACACAAATTGCGTTTGTACCCTGTGTTACCCACCCAATTATCCCCAACCTCCCTCCCTCTCCCCCTGTCCCCCCAACTCCACTTTGTAGCCCAAGGTATGTTCTCTCCCTCTGCAAGTCCAGTGCATCACTGTGGTCTTTCTTTCCTTCCTTCTTTCTCTCATAGCTCCCACTTATGAGTGAGTACATGTGGTATTTATCCCTCTGTGAGAAGCAGAAATTTTAGATATAAAGGGATATAGATAAGTTCGTCCTTTTTTATACATATGGAAATCACTGGGATATTCAGTGAAAATCAGCATCATATTGGCCAAACAGTTATTTTATGTTTTAGATGTTTCCTTTTCAAATTATTGCTTTTCTGTGCTTTACCCCAAGTTTGAAATCACTTGGAGATTTAACTGTCATGTAGTATTTTGTTATATTACACATTGTGTTTTTTCCCTCTATTTTTGAAAAAAAATCTCAAACAGGTATATAAAGTAATCTTCATTATACAATAGTTATTTTTTGAATTGGCATTTTTATAATTTAAGATAACTATGTGTTATAGTAGCATCTTTGTGTTTCTTTTTATTTTCTTTAGAGATTGCAAAAAGGACATTTCAAGGAAAAGGCATCATGGCAGGAGAAAGCAGAAGTTTTAAGCCTCATTTGACGTTCATGAAATTGTCAAAAGCACCATGGCTCCGTAAGAATGTGAGTGCATGTTTTCATTGTAAGCCTTGTTTTACCAGGCCACACCAGCCTTAAGTATGGTGGGGGGCATGAGTGACATTTGTAGTGGTTTTTGATGTTCTACCAGTATTGCTCCTGGAATTCCAAGTCTGTTTGATTCCAATGCCCAAGGGTGCTGAGGATGCTCAAGGTCCTCCATGGAGGCTGTGACAGCTGTGCCCTCATTTGCATACTCTGACCATCATTTATTGCTACTTCTTCTATTGCCACATCTGCTTCATCCCTTGAAGAGCCTCAGGGTGGTGCCAGAGTTCAGTTTTACTGCCTTCTTTGCTTATGGTTGTTTGCATCCTGCTGCTCTCAAAGCTTCCTGCATTGGCCTGCATACACTGGTGCTGCTCACTACAACTGGGTTCTTCAAGGTGGGACAGGCTTTTGGACCCCCTTTTATGTAGCTTGTTCAGGTTTCCAAAAGACCACCTTGCTCTTTCAGCAGTTGCCTCCATTGAGGGCTTGGAGCAAGGTATCAGGGGCTGGGTAAGAGGGTAACTGAGGGACTGCCCTTCATTCCTGAGATACTAAAGAGTATATCTCCCTGAGGATGGTCAACAGTGACATGAGCTAAGGGACATGTCTTTTGACTTCCCCTATCTCAGAGTGATTTTCTGCCTTTCTAGGCCACCCCCTCCTCCTTCAGAGGTTGGAACAACTTTGGACTTTCTTCTGGATTCATGAGCAGTTCTCCTGAAATCCTAAGGGCACCGTTCATTGTCTTCCCATTTCAGCCTAGGGGGTTCCTCATGCACGTTAAGACATCTGATGGCCTGCTCTGATAGACCAGAATTTTGGAGATGGGAATGCAGATTAAAATTGCTCCCAGCTCTCCATGACCCTTTGCTGCACTTAAGACTGATTTGCAGCTCTGTAAATGAAGGTCATGTTTATTAGTAAGTAGAACTTTTTTCTAAATTTGGTGCATTTTGTACTTAATGTCTCCATCCTTAGAAAGTCTTTTTGGTCCTTTAAAACCTGGGTTTGGATGATTCACCTTCCTGTGGTTATGAGTTTTCTGTACACTATTGTTAAAGTTCTCAGAAAGGTATTTTGCATGTTTTTTTTTTTAATAACTGTGACAAATTCAGTAATGTCTATATTAGGTATCATTCCAGGATATGTTGGGTCAAAATAACTTGTGTAAATGATAGATTATGAAATCTGGAATGATAATTTATAGACTGACAGTTTACTTCTTTACTTGTTATCTTTCTTGTTTTGCTTTCAAATGGATTGTCCTCTTCCAAGTAGTTTCAAACTTTATCACAGAATGACAAATCAGTGGTGAAGGTAATATCCCCATTTCAAAATGTTTCTTTGTCTTTACAGTTTAACTTTGAAATGAAAGCCATTTACCAAAGGAATGTTTAAACTATTCTTGAATCTGTATTTCAACATTTCAGATTGCATTTAAATGATTTCTTGCCAGTTAATTTCACAGAATCCACTCCTTTACCCTTTATAAAAGGGATATGAGAATTAGAAAAGTTAAATGACTGAAGTAGGATTACATTCTCATCAGTTACAGAGCCCTGTCTCTGTATCAGAGAATCCATCCTATTCCATTCTCAGTCTTATGTTCTTCCCTCCCACTGGCCAACTCCTGTTCACCCAGATTCATTTCTATATGTGAGGAGTCCCATGGTCCAAATTATATTAATTTGACAAATATTTATTGAGTACCTCTATGTGCCAGACAGTGGATGCTGGGCATAGAGTGGTGATCAAAATAGAAACAGTCTCTTCTTGAGTGGTGTATAAACTCTAAATCAGATTGCATTTTGTTTAGATTAGAATGCTTAATCTTTAGAAAATAAATTATGATCTTATGGTTTTTCAGAAAGCCAAATAAAAATTTTTTCTTTTAATTTATGGAATGACTGTATTCCAGTCACTACTATGATGGTCAGTGTTCCTGAATGCTTAAGGAAGTAGCTCTTAAATTTTGGGATTCATGGGTCAGCTGTAGTGCTTGTTGAAGGTGAAGATTCCACCTGCTATCCTTAGATTTGGAAGCGGATCTGGGCCTTGACTTTTGATATTCAGTAAGTGCCGTAGGTGATTCTGATCCAGACGATCTACAGAGGAATATAGTTTGAGACCCGCAGGCCTAAATAAATATGCAGCAATTTCTTTATGCAGCAAGTCTACTGTGAAAGTTAAAAACGGTATGAAAAGGTGGCATACGTATAAGTGGATTTCATTTATTTACTTTACTATAACTTGTGGTTTGGAATGTAGATTGTTTGAAAATATATGACTCAGTTTTTTTTGTCTTAATTTTTTTTTTTTTTTTTTTTTTCATTTCCAACGGTCTATTTTTTTCTCTCAGCTCTAATTGTCTTTTAGGTTTTTATTCTTTGTCCACCCATCATTTACAAGTGATTAAGACAGTAATGGAATGTATTGCTAGCTTTCAGTATTATTTAAATTGATGATGAAATAAAAGGAGAGAGAGAGAGAGAGAGAGAAAGGGGGAGAGACACAGAGAAAGGGAAAGAGAGAGAAAGGGAGAGAGGTGAAGTAATAGTCTTTAATCCTCACTCATATATTAGATTTGACTCATTTCAAGTACTTTATTTTTAACTTTAAAGGTTATTCTAATTATAAAAGTATTACCTGAATATATGCTCACTGAAAACAATTCAAATACACAAAAACCTATAGAATTAAAGAAGCAATTTCTCCCTTTCCAACACCCTGCCACCCCCTTCCTCCCAATATAATTTTTCTCTCAATAAAGGATACACTCCTAGTGTATCCTTCCAGACCTTTTCCTATGCAAATATATCTAGACACATACATACATATAATTTCTTTAGAACAGAAATAAAACTCTATATATTATTTTAATTTACAATAATTTAAATATTCTCCCCATGAATAGATTGATTAGGTTGATTTCTGTTTCTTTGCCACGAGAAACAATGCTGCAGTGAACATCCTTGTTTACTATTTTTGGGTAGATATGCCAGTATTTCAAAGAACCAATTTCTTGAAGTTGAGTTGTAAGGTCAAAGGGTATTATTGTACATTATAACTTTTCAAAAACACCTCAAATTGCCTTTTAAAACAATGGTATCAATTTATACTCCCAAACACAGTATATGACAAGAATGTTCATTAGAGTAAATCTGTGGTAGAAGGAGGAATGGTGGCTTATAAAATTGGTATGGTCATTTGAGCTGTGAATTATGCAGCTGACATCAAAAAACATTTAAAAATTCATATTCTTTAACATGTTCTTGCTGCTGATATTATCCTAAAGAAATAATTTGAAAAAGCAAGTTCTTTCTGCATAAAGATGTTTACTGAAGCATTATCAATAATGGAGAAAAATTAGAAATAACATCCATAATAATAGGGGAATGTTTAAGTCAATTATGGTAAATCATATTAATGATTTAAGCAGCTTTTAAAGTAGATACTTATAAGGACTCTGTAACAGCACAAAAAAGGTAAAAAACATATAGAATGTATACTCTAATTAAAATTTTTTATCAATTGCTTCCTTGGGGTTTGCCTTACACAACACCTTAATGTGTTTCAGTGCATTTCAGAGGTAAAAATGGGTTCCCACAATTGCTCTTTTAGCCCATGATTTCTCTGGTAGATCAGTGAATAGAGCTGACCTTAATGTCATCCAGAATGTAGTAGAGCCCCCTTGACATACTGAGGATTACCATCTTGGTTGGTTGGGGGTTTGCTGGGGTCCTGAGGAAGGGTGGGCCTTGGTGAGCTGAGCATAGAGAGAAGTGGTGATGAGCAAGTAAGATGCCCCCTGGAAATTCAGGAGTGAGGGGTAGCCCCTATTCAGAAACTGGAAGATTTTCCACTGTCTCGGGGAGTTTTCCTTTAGTTTCTGCTATGGAGGGGTGGCACATAGTGAGAGTGTCTAGAAAAGAGATAAGTAATATTGCCCATTAAGATGCTCTGTTTTGAAAATTGGTGCCAGTTGGTGTTCTCCTTATATCTCTATATTATCTGCTAGAAGTTCATCTGGAAATAATTTTGTGTATGATACTGGTGTACTCTTAAGATACTGATGGTACTGTTGTCGGGGTTGACATGATATTTATTGGTAAAGAGGGGTGTTTTGGGTAGAGAAGTGCTCTGGATTATTATAGGCAAATTCTGAAATAGTAAGACTGATGATCCATTTTTGTTGTCTATAGGAGGTGTAATGAGACATCCTGTAACTAGTACTTCAATTGCGATTTTTTTACATCACCTAGTCATTGTCATTTTTAATGACCTGAAAAGCTGCTGACTTAAAAAATGATAGATTCAAAATTGGACTTATAATTGGTCTGCTTATGAAGGTAAAACATCTCACTGACGTCCAAGATGTGGACAGAAGGCTAGTGCAGGGGATGAATTTATGACCCTGGGTGTTCATAAAGATCTAGCATGAGGATTTCCCAGTGGTGTTTGGTATGGGGTGCAGAAGTCCCTGGGCTTCTGGGGTCCTGTCCTCTGGTAGGCATCTGTTTGCAGGTAATAACATAGAGTAAAAGTAACCAAAATTCCAGCAGGGTAACCAAGAGTTGTGTGCAGAATTTTGAAAATGTAGAAACACTTTTTTCAATTTCCTGGTGTGGAACTTTCTCTGTCACAGCATGGTATTCTGTTTCCCGAGTTAGAGAACTGAGATGAAGCTGAGGACAGATTCTGGGAAACATAAGGCTTTTCTTGGCAGTTGTATATTTTTCTATCACCAGGAGACATTTAGTCAATGTGTTTTTTAGTTTTGCATATTTTTAGTTTCATGAAATTCTGGTGGGTATTTTGCAGAAGAAAATATCAAAAAGATTATAAAGTTTAAAGCTATTCTGATGGTAAGTGTGCTTTGTAATTTTTTTCATCAAATGAATGAAGCCTCAAAAAATCTTATTAAATTACAATGTTTAAGTTATTTGTACAGTGTCCTTAGAATATATTTGTTTGACATGGTTACTCTGCTACTT